TCCCTATTTGGAGGCTAATTTAGAGTCTAAGAAAAAATTATTTTGGATAGGTAGGGGGAGTTTGCACACTCTATGGACCCCATAGGTATTATTTCTAAAAAATGATAGAGGATGAATCTAACTATTGTATATACTCTGTTAACACAAAAGCATAGAAGAAGCATTAGCCATCAAGGATACAGCCATCATCTGACTTGCCCTTTGCACCTGAGTTACAGGTACAACACAGGAAGTGTAGTCAAGGACATAGTCACTCATCAGTCACTTCTTTCACAAACATTTACTGAGATCCAGTTAACTTTCTTGAACTTTTCTATTAAAAGTTTCTCTTCTAGATAATGCTCTGAAATGAATCAGCAAATTGATATAAATTACATAAACAGAGTCTGCCAGGATACTTAAGGGTATTTAGATAAAGGAGAAAAGTCACATTCAAGGTCACTTTTTCCTGTGGAAAAATGTATTTTCTATAGAATTACTACTTGAAATAATTATTTTCTAAAACAATCTTTCTTTGGTATGCTTTAGTCATAACTGGGAATGTTACTGCTGTAATAAAATGATTTTAAAAGAGACATACATGCTGATATGCCTGGAAATAAGAAGTCTTGGCTCTAATTCCTGGGATTAACATTGATGTTCAATTAAAAGATAAACAAATGTTTCATAGATACCTCATAGCTATTATTCAAAGAAGAGAGATCTTTTGCCATTCAATCTTATAGGTTTCGTTTCAAATTAAAAAGAAAATTAGTTCTCCATTATTGATGCAATTGTGTGTTCCAAAAGTGATACATTTTAAATATATTTCAGTCTATGCCAGTTTTGCTGTCAATTCTATACTTTGAAAAATACCTTTCAAAAATAAAGAGGCAACTAGAACAAACATTGGGATAATTTTTAAAAGTGATCCTTAGGCAAAGTACTAGATCATCAAATACTTTGAAAAAGTGTCTTTGTGGTGGTTTTGAATGGTAAGGGTTGCATTCTGTTTTCAGTAGTTTTCTGGTTGTCATTTCAGCTATGAAGCCTTACACTCCGTATTTCATGCTCCTGTGGAGTGCTGTTGGGATAGCGAAGGCCGCCAAAATCATCATCGTGCCGCCAATTATGTTCGAAAGCCATATGTACATTTTCAAGACACTAGCCTCTGCCTTGCACGAGAGTGGGCACCACACAGTGTTCCTCCTCTCTGAAGGCAGAGACATCACGCCATCTAATCATTACAGCCTGCAGCGCTACCCAGGGATCTTTAACAGTACCACCTCGGATGCTTTCCTGCAGTCCAAAATGCGGAATATTTTCTCTGGGAGATTGACAGCAATCGAACTGTTTGACATACTGGATCACTATACCAAGAACTGTGATATGATGGTTGGCAACCGTGCCCTGATTCAGGGTCTAAAAAAGGAAAAGTTTGACCTGCTGCTGGTGGACCCTAATGACATGTGTGGATTTGTGATAGCTCATCTTTTAGGGGTTAAATATGCTGTATTTTCAACTGGCCTTTGGTATCCTGCCGAAGTGGGCGCTCCTGCCCCGCTAGCTTACGTCCCGGAGTTTAACTCACTCCTCACCGACCACATGAACCTGCTGCAAAGGATAAAAAACACCGGCGTTTACCTCATTTCCAGATTAGGGGTCAGCTTTCTGGTTCTTCCCAAATATGAGAGGATAATGCAGAAGTACAACCTGCTGCCGGAGAAGTCCATGTATGACTTGGTCCATGGGTCCAGCCTGTGGATGCTGTGTACAGATGTAGCACTGGAGTTTCCGAGACCCACTCTGCCTAATGTTGTTTATGTAGGAGGGATCCTCACCAAACCGGCCAGCCCACTACCAGAAGTAAGGTTTGCTGAGCTCCTTGGGAATCTTTTCTAAATATAAATGTCAGTTTGTCAGCTTTGAGTTTTGAAGAGATAGAGCTGGGTGTTGTCGGGTAACAAATGCTATTCTAAAAAGTGGTTAAGACACAGAGCCTACCAAGGTCCCTTTATCTGTGGGTGCCTCACTCCCCTGGAACGCATTCCTACGTCAGAGGAGCATTTCGGTGATCCCGAGAGGCCACTCTGCCATATGGTCAGTAGACTGGAAAGTAGATTTTTGATTAAGTTATAACTGTAGTATGACAGAGAATGTAGTTAGATAGTTCGTGAGTGATTTTGCTTTTAATTAAACACAGAGATGCTTCTGTCTCCCCCAGAAAGCACAAACACAGTTGTCTGCATCTAGGTTAGGTCCCGTGAACTCAAATAAGTAGGATGACGTGAATAGTGGTTCTTCTTTCAGCAGTCCTGACCACTAGAAATTTTATGTCCAACATTGAAAATGAGGTAGTAACTTCCATTCGCCTAGGAAGCTAACTAATTTTAAGTTAGTAAGCAAATGTAACTGTTTAAAGAAATCATGCCCCATTGTGATTTCATTTCAAAGATGGAATTAATTATGTCTTAACAAAACCCTTCTACTCTGAGTCAAACCTGAATTCTTTTTGCTGGCTGAGCTGTCAGCACATACCCTTGTGTTCTGTTCTCCATCCTAGTTTGTTTTTTTATTAGGTATCTCAAACTGGCAGGAGCCATACTGCGTATCGGTTGTTGTAGGGGATTTTCTAACCTCAGGTTGACTGTGGATTTAATCTCAACATCTAATGGCATTTACCAGAAGTGTAGGGCCTGTTCTATGATTTTTGCTATTGCAACCATTTCTACTCTTAAAATTCTTAAAGTAGCCACTCACGACAACTGTTAAATTGTTCATCCCTAACTCTGGTCACTACATTTAAGAAAAAATCTGCCAGGGCCTTGATGAAGAGTAAATCTAGTTTTTCTCCTATAGGTATCAGGTAAGCACAATCACTAGGCAGAATTTTCTCGTGGGGACATAAGGTGATTGGAATATACAGCCTGTAGACTTCTTTAACACCTCCATTAGAAGCATATTTAATAAATAATACTTTGATGTATTTCATGTAACATGAAGAAATAGAACTTGCCAGATCTTTGGCCCATAAACCCTAGATGCCTCTGGTAGAGGCTGTGAGAGTGAGCTCAGGCCTTCTCTCTGACACCAGCTGTGAAGGATAGGGATTAGTCTCAGCATTGTCTCAGCCATTTGTGAATTTACTTAAGCCCACTTCGAATCCCAGATAGTCTCTGCCAGAGTCACTGTGTGATGTATTATCCCTTTCCTAAAGGTAACTAAAATCAAACTTCAGAAGCAGCTTCCAAGAGACCTGGAAGCAAGTCTGTCTCTACTTTAACTGAGTCGTTCGTAATGTCAGGCAGATCAGCCGTACTCCCTCAAATCTTCATCTTTTCCCAACCAGGGTACTGCCCTTCTGCTTGCTCCTTTGGGTTTTTGTTCGAATGCTATCTCCCGTCTTCAGGTCGAAGAAGGAAGCAATGATAAGGAATCTTCTAATTGCCTTTTTTTTTATTCCATCCCTGTACATTTTTCTTAAGTTGCAGCGGCTTGAACTATATAAGTACAGAATACTATTGTATGCTTAGTCAAATAGCATGTTAGTTTCACTATGGTAGTCCCCCCTTATCTGCCGCTTCAGTCATCCTCGGTTACCCACGGTCTGAAAATTTTTAAATTCCATAAATAAGCAGTTCATAAGTTTTAAATTGCACATCATTTTGAGTAGTGAAGCTTGATGAAATCTCACATAGCCTAGCTCTGTCCTGCCCAGAATACCCAGCCATCCACATGGTCTGCTCCTGACATCCAGCCGTTGCCATCGTAATGGCTCCATGATCCAGCATCGCTTGGAGCAGATGATCCTCTTTCTGATGTATCATCAGAAGGTCAACAGTAGCCTAACTCTGTGTCACAGTGCCTACGTCATTCACCTCACTTCATCTGATCACGTAGGCATTTTATCATCTCGTGTCATCACAAGAAGGGTGAGTAGAGCACAATAAGATATTGAGAGAGAGAGAAACCACATTCACATAATTTCTATTACAGTATATTATGATCTATTTTATATTAGTTATTGTTGTTAATCTCCTACTGTGCCTAATTTATAAGTTAAACTTCATCATAGGTATGGATGTATAGGAAAGAACATGGTATGTATAGGGTTCAGTACTATTTAAGATTTCAAGCACTCACTGGAGGTCTTGGAACGTATACTCTGTGGATAAAGGGGGGGCTACTGTACCTTGTTTTACTTTAAAAGCATCTTTTGTGTGGTTTTTGGAGCCTCATATAAGGTTATTACCCAAAATGTTTTCTGATTTGCCATGATTTCTAGTTTGACACTGGCTTGACCTACTTTGTGGGCTTTCCTGTTCTTTTTTCTCTTTGGGCTTTTTGTAATGCTTCTTTTGAAAACGTGCTCTTTATTTACAATTATTGCTTTAGCTGTGACAGTTAATTAGGTGTCACACTCAGATACATACACATCTGGCATGTGCATGTGTTATGTATGTGGACCAGATAAGTATATCATTGTCATGGAAAATCTGTTAGGTTATAAGTGTGAAGGGCCTTTTTCACTTCAGTGTGCCATTTACAAAGTTCTTCAATAGGGAGTATTTTGAAGAATGATGTGTCTTATCCTTTCATGTATTCCTCACACTAGTGAGGCTTTATATGTGTAGGAACACGTGTGTTCCTATTGCGATTTCTCTAGTAGATTTGTCTGATGCAGTAAACTGTACCTCAGGTTTCTGAAAGTTAATGAGTTTCTCAAATGCCGGTATTACTTACAGGTCATGGTTGTGACACTAAAATAATAGAGCCCAGCAAGTGGCCTCCTAGAACACATGATTCACTAATAACAGCTTAATTGTTAACTGCCTTGGTATCTTACACTGGCAATGGATTAAATTTTCCAGATGTCTGGAAATGATTTGACAGTGGGATTTCATTTCACAACCTGGGATGAAAAGATAGAGAAAATGTCTAAAAGACATTTTCCAGGAGCTTTCATAATGTTTGAGCCCAAAGAAACTCTAGAGAGCATCTAGTTCAGCTCTATTTTTCCTCCTCAAAATACAAAAATTCGTTTGTCACATAGGAGATTAAAAGAATTTGAGTGTCTCGTCCAGGCCAGAGTTTGTGGCACAGCCAAGTGAATTGTTTTGCTATTAAACAAAGCCAAGTGGATTGTTGTGCTATTAGTTAGATATTTTGTCAAGCTGCCTGCATCTCTTGTCACTCATTTTACTCATTTACACATTTAGAGTGTATACAAAACTATGCAGAGACAATTTTGCTAATCTTTATTTGCTATCTCAAAGATTGTGAGGACTTAATATGAGAGTCACATTACACCATTTGGACTCTTCCTTGTGCTTTAGAGATGTAATGATAGAAATCAGGCAGAATCCAAATGCTTTTGATTATAAAATGTTGCATTGGTGTAGAGTGAAGAAATTGTCTGCCTTGATAATAGAATCATTTCTAAATGCATGTGCCTAACTTATCATACTATTTACTACCGGGCTGCCTACAGTAGGAGGCCTTAAAATGTCCTTAAGGGGAAGAGGTTTAGGTTGGATTATATCCATATAGTGGCTTATCTCTATCTTTACAGGGTGGTAGAGAACATGGAAACAAATTTAAAAAATAAAAAGCTTTACTTAGGTCAGAAGAAGGTCTGTAAATAGATCCCTATTTGATTAGGTCCTTCAAGTATTAAATGTGAATGAAATAATAGCATCTTATAGAGGGTGACTGTAGCTTTTAGTGGTTTGATTAGGGGGTAATAACAATAATACTACCAAAGAATAGTACATTTACTTAGGGAGTCTTTTGATGATTAAAATTCACATGTTTCAGGTGATGATTTTTAGATGATTTCCCATTGGTGGGAAGTGGTCTAGCCCTGCCAAGCATTTGACCTCAGCCACTTTTCAGCTTCTATAGCCCTGAACCGTAATTGCACCTAATGGATTGTACCTTAGTTATTGGTTTTTCACACGGCTTTCTCCCTAACTAGGGTGTGGATGCCATAAAGGGTGGACACCAAGGTGGGTAACCTCTGTTCCCTGAGTGCCTGGAAAATGGTAGCCACTCAGTGAATGTTTAAAATTAAATGAATTGCATCAAAGAGAAATAGTTGCCAAAAAATAGGTGATTGAACTAGTACAACAGTGTTGTTAATATTATAACCATTATTTGTTTATTCCAAGTTATGTCCAGATGCCATTGCAGCCATTAAGTAACCAAACATTCCAGGTTAAGTTATTTTAATGAATTAGAATAGCCACTTAATGATACTGATATTGAGAAAAGGAGATCATCATACATTACCCAACTGGTGAGCTAAATGGTCTCTACTATGTTCCAAATATACATGTGAACAGGGCTAGTAGTGCAAGTCAGGCCAGCTGTTGCTGTATTAAAGATGATTTGGGGTGGTATGGCACTCATTTGGTGGACCTTAGAGGTGCTTTATGGCCAGGCTAGGAGTATGAAAGGCATTTTCATTTCACCATTTGTAGAGACATTCTTAATTTAGGGAAACACAGTCCTGGGGAAAGATACAGATAAGAGATAAACAGATAAGAAAGAGCAAGAGGCCAAGGACAGTGTCATGAGATACTCACTGTTTGTCATTTTGTAGTTTGCCTGAACTCCCTCACAGAGAAAGGTTTGGGGGGAAAAAAGAGACAGTGTGCAATGGATTCATTAGATTAACCCACTTGTGAGCAGATCAGGTTATGAGAAGAAGAATAAAACTAAGAAGCAAGACAGTGGCTTTTTAATTTAGTTTTCATTGAGTCACCTAGAAGCCATTACTTATTATTACATATGGAAATGGAAAGCTGACCTCCCCAAGAGTGAATGGATGTCTAAGCTGGGTTATGGGACCAGAGTCCTTGGGG